CCTTGAGCCCGCACGCGGGGAGGGCGGGGTATAAATAAAATTAAATAAATAAATAAACTCAAATCTGCATTTGCATTTTTAAATTGGTTTCATGCTTCTGTGACACAGCTGCAGAGACAGTGAGTAATGAGAGCCAGCAGATGCCAAGAAAATCCTTAGTAGGAGACGTAGAGCATGAGGTAAGAATGTAAAAACCTTGATTACTCACACTTGAAAAAGAACAAATGAATAATAATTCATTTTTTTGTAATTTATTTGTAAAATTGCTCCAAGTATAAAGCGACCTGATGAAGCATTGAGTGAAACAGATTGTGTACCTGGGAAATCTGTAGTCGCATGACAATTGTTGGAAGCAGCAACAGCACTGTATGATGTAAAATAAAGAAACAAAAAGAAGCACCAGCAAATTTGTGGACTATAACTGGACTTGAATCAATTTTTCACAGTGAACATTGGCGAAGTACAACCTTGGTTGAGTCACTATGGTCCATTTGTGGCTGGACCTTATTTGTGACTGGCAAGGAGGATGTTATCTGAACTATATTCAAACATCCCTCATAAAAATATTATGTACAAAAAAGTTTAGTTATCATATAGAACTGTACCATGTATGCAAATATATGACCTCTTTTTTTCTTGATGGCAGACCTAGTCATCCTTTTATGTAAAATAGTCAATGTTAAGGCCTCATTCAGTGGTGTGGCGAATGAACTGAACAGGATGTGCAGAAAGAAAAGTCCTCACTCTCTATCATGTGTAGAGAAGCCAGCAAAAAAAAAAAAGTCATAAAATCCACCACGTGTTCTTACTTCTTTTGATTTCATTTTTTAAAAATAGTGTTGCAATGCTAGGTCATGACAGTTCGAAAATGCACAACTAATTAAAAAAACACACACAATGGTTTTTAATACATCCATCTCAAGATTATAACACATTTTCCTACTGTTAACAAAAAAGCTGCCAGCTCAGTGGGGATGATTCCAAGTTATTTCAAGAGTTTAAGGTGATTAAAAAAAAACCAACCAGATAAATTATGGTCAAGAAACACTTTAGTGATGGAGTCATTGGGACTTGCTCAGTCCCAAAGGAAGGAGGACAAAGTTCAACCAAACTCTTCAGTAACCTTATGACTGACTTCACATGGAAGTAACATTAATCTCCAATTATCCAGCATATATGAATCTCCAAAAAGCTCCAGGTTTTCTCCATGTGCAACAATCCAGTTTCGGCAGCACTGTTCACCCAGAGGGACTGTATTTCTCTACATTCTGGAACAGCAGGAGTGTTCCTTGTTAAGATGCTGCTTTACTCACTCTCCGTCATCTTTGTGAAATGATTTTTAGGGAAGTTTGTACATTATTCTGTGGGCAATGTAAGTAAACTTTTGCAAATATTTCATGTTGTTGTAATGCAAGGTGAGGGGTTATACATCTGTCTCCTTTTCTAAGGGTACACCTTGATTTCTCTCTCATGCAGTGTTTGCCTTTGTAATTCTACATCAACTTATGTGTGAGAGTGGTTGTGGTGGACTTTGTATTTGGTGCATAACATTTGGTTTGATGGTTAATTATATTTGTTTATTCATTCTTTTTTTACATTCTGGCCTTTTTTAAAAAAAAGGTGGGAATAATGAAACCCCTTCTAAATCCATCCATCCCCGTTTTGTGGGTATTGTTTTGTGTCTCTTTCTTGCTAACTTCGATTTTCCTGTTGGGAACCCATTTGCACAATGCCTTGTGCAGGGAACAGAATGGATTATGTTCTTCCTTTCCATGTAGTCATATTAAAATCATTTCTTCCTTCTGCAATTAAATAGTGGTCCACTGCTTCTGAACACATTTATGTGTTGCAGCTAGTTGTTGATGGTAGATCCTGTCCTCCATGAATTTCTCAGATCTGCTTTTAATGCTGACTAAACCTGACTGCATCTTCTGACAACAGCTTTACAACCAATTGAAGTTATATTTCCCCTCATTTCAGTCTACATCTTTAAACCTAAAAGTAACCATTAGAACACAACATAAGAACATAAGAGAAGCCAATGCTGGATCAGGCCAATGGCCCATCCAGTCCAACACTCTGTCACACAGTGGTCAAAAATAACAGGTGCCATCAGGAAGTCCAGCAGTGAGGCAAAGACACTAGAAGCCCTCCATTCTAAACAGTGATTCACATTTCCAAACTCCATTCTAAGCAGTGATTCACAATTCCAATATTCCAGCTGTCGTAATTACTTTGTAATGTCACATCTTTTAAAGTAAGTCTTGCCATCTTGAAGTCAAATACTTCATAAGCTACAAGTTTGTAAAGTGACAGCAGTGTGTTAAAATGGAACTGAACAGTGCTAAAAGTAGTGAACATAAAACATGATAGAGTAAAGGCTATGAACTATGTTTGGCTGAGGCTAAATAAACAAGAAAACAAACCAAAAAATCCCAGTTTAACTATAGAAAGATCAGATTGCTTTCTGCCACAGCAACAAGTTAGATTGGGATGTAAAGTATGCAGTGTGCAGAAGAATTTTGGACTTCTACACTCCACTATACATACCTGATTATTACAAAAATTACTGATTCTCCTGTCATCCCATGTCTCTTCACAGTCCCAAAATGTTGCAAAATATGGACCTCAGACCTAGTTCCCTGTATAATTGCATTTTGGAATGAAGGTGTGTGGGAAATGTCATTGACTGTTCTTGATTCTGCAATTGAAAGATTCACCTTTGTTTCAATTTTCTGAATTGGGAAGTCCAAGAAGAGTAGGGCTGAAATCTTAGGAACACTTTCCTGAGAGTAAGCCCCACTTCATAAAATGGGGCTCACATCTGATTTTTTTTTTTTGGGGGGATGACTTTTTCTCCTAAAGTCTTTTTTCAGTCATTCCATTTAAAAAAAAATTAATTCCAGAGGGAAATTCTCTTTTGGAATGAGTGTAATTTTTAATAACTACTACTACTACTACTACTACTACTACTACTACTACTACTACTACTACTACTACTACTACTACAACTACAATAATAATAATAATGTCTTACTCAGAATGCATAGCATGAAGATTTTTTATGTAAAACAGTCTACATCATTCAATAATTATGATTGTTTAAAGTTGAGTAATTTGGGGTTAGATCTACCTAGATTTTTCTCTCTGTCTTGCCCAGTTCCTCTGTTTATAACAGGCATCGACCCACATGGCTTTTGTATATGCAAGTCCCTGGATCCCAAAATGTAGCAAAGTATGGACCTTTTTTGCATGGTCAGAGGGGGTCCTGGCTTCATTTTTCATCAGCAGAACTATTGGCTCTAACCACTGTCAACAGTTAATCTACTATAATAGATAGGATGACAATACGTTCTTGAATTGTTCAATTTTTCAATGTCAAAAAGTTTAACTCGATATTCAGATATGCTGCATGTTCTACTATAACTGTATAAAACTCTCTACAGATACCACATTGACTTTTCTTTACTGCAACACTTATTTTTTCCTACCACTTGGATGGCAAACACTAAGAACCTTTCTGCTAAGTTAGCATAGGGTGCAGTAGTTTGCAGCCCTCTATCCCTGTAGTACTGGGCTATCTGCAGTTTTGCTTGTGGAAAAACTAAGTGCTATCCTGGGTCTACTCAGGATCCTTCTCAGGTCTATTTAGGTCCAGCACAGGTCTCTCTCTTTCCCAGTAATGTGTTCTTAAAATTGCATGGCAAAACATTTCAAAAATATGCCAAATAGTATGACTGTAATGCCATTCTAAATGATGTGTTTTATGTCATTAAAGCAATAAAACAAATACGGACTGGATTATATATATATAATTAAAATACTACATATATTCCAAGTTTTCCCCAATATCTCCATGATCAACCCCCCCAAAAGTGGGGGAAATAGGTTTTCTCTCCTTCACTTCCCGATTTCTGGAAATTTTACATCTGTAGTGGGTAAAGAAACTTTTGTTTTACTTTGGAACTAGCACTACCTTTCCAGTTTCATTTATACCTTTCTCTTCCAGCACTGGAAGGGAAGGGAAAGATTCAGATGAGAACTAGAACTGTATATTAAGATTCTAGCTGCTATCACCTCTCATGTCCTATGTGGAAAACTTTAAGTCCACCCCACCAGGGTAACCAATTGCCTAGAAAGGGCGGGAAAGTCCTATTCATTTAATATAATGTTAATGGGATGTTATCTTCTCTCTCTCTCTCTCTCTCTCTCTCTCTCTCTCTCTCTCTCTCTCTCTCTCTCAGACACAGCCTTTCTCTCTCTCTCTCTCTCTCTCTCTCTCTCTCTCTCTCTCTCTCTCAGCCACAGCCATTTTATGGCAACCACATAAGGTTTTCAAGGCAACAGAAGTTCAGAGGTGGTATGCAATTGCCTCCTTTGCATAATTACCCTGGTATTTCTGGGGTCTCCCATCCAAGTACTGACCAAAGCTGACTCTGATTAGCTTCTGAGGCTTCCTGGGCTATCCAGGTCAGGGTAAGTCATCTATTAGATGATGCTATTTACCTAACACCATGAAAAGCTTCAGCTGAGATCAGGCATCAGGTCTGGTTTTGCAGCCCACTGTCTATGATACCTAAACTTTAGAACCAATCTCATTTATCAGGCAAATTAACACTGGCAATGTTAATTCTTATCAGTTCTCATCCCGTCTTCTTGTTTCAAACCATGAGTGGGATTGTTACTAAACATCCTATTGTTGATAGTGTCCTTCAGAAGTCAGAATGTTCATGAAAATCCCATATCACAACTAGTATAAAATGTCTTCTTTTCCACAAAATGCATTGATACAATTTGTGATTGAGTTGCTGCATGGGCCACTGCTGGGCTGCATACAACTGGAAAAAGCTTTAAACAGTTGAAATTTGGCTCTGATTAAGGAAATCAGTGTGACGAGTTATCAATATATGTACTTGAAATATTATTCTGTACTTAATGTAATATTACTCTAAAGAATTCATTTTGATTTTTTTTTCAGCTCTACAACAACGTAATCCAGGATGCAACGGACAAACAAGACACAAGTAACTGTATTTATCCTAATAGGTTTTCCTGGAAGCCTTCGACTGCAGTTAACACTGTTTACCATTTTCCTGATTGTGTATGCATTGACATTAATAGAGAATGTGATAATAATAACACTAATCCGGGTGAATGTCAACCTTCATAAACCTATGTACCTCTTCCTGAGTAATCTTTCTTTCCTCGAGATCTGGTATGTCTCTGTCACTGTTCCTAAGATGCTTGTAGGGTTTGTGTCAGAGAAGAAGGATATTTCTTTCCCTGGTTGCATGGCCCAGCTCTACTTCTTCCTGGGTCTCGCATGTACAGAGTGCGTCCTTCTAGCTGTTATGGCCTATGACCGCTATGTAGCTATATGCAACCCACTGCGTTATCCAGCTATAATGAGTCAAGAGCTCTGTATCCGCTTAGCAGCTGGTTCATGGCTGAGCGGCTTCTTCATAGCCATGGGGAAAGTCTTCTTCATCTCACGCTTGAGCTACTGTGGACCCAACACTGTCAACCACTTCTTCTGTGATGTCTCCCCACTTCTCAACCTGGCCTGTACCGACATGTCATTGGCAGAACTCATTGACTTCCTGCTGGCCTTACTCATCCTCCTTGGCCCACTCTCCATGACAATTGTGTCCTACTTCTGCATCATATCCACCATTCTCCACATCCCTTCAACCAAAGGGAAGCAAAAAGCATTTTCCACCTGTACCTCACACCTTCTAGTAGTCACCATTTTCTATTCTGCCTCCTTATTCATTTATGCCCGGCCAAAGGCCCTCACAACATTTGATTCCAACAAGCTAGTGTCTGTTGTCTACACTGTCTTAACACCACTGCTAAATCCAATCATCTACTGCTTAAGGAACCAGGAGTTCAAGGAGGCTCTCAAAAAAGCAACACAGAGACTTTCTTCTGGGCACAAAGGGTAGTATTGTAAGAGACTTATTGATAAATGCGTTAATGCAGCGGTGGTACATTGAAAGAAAAAAATGTCTCTGCATGTGAGAATATGCCTCAGGAATAATGATTCTGATGAAATGCCTCACAAGTGAGAGCAATGTTCTTTCAAAAATTTGCAGCGCTAATTGAGCCTTGTGCAAATGGGGAATAAGTGATATGTGGATGGGGCAGGGTAACTGTGCACATTTGCCTCTCTCTCATATCCAAATATTAATTGGTCTTCTGCATAAAGTCTATAATTTTAGCCTCCCTTTACATAAACTGTATCTTGCAAAAATAAAGGACAGATGACGCAGGGCAGACTATACACCTAGTTGTACCCATGTATGACTTACAGTTGGTAATACACCTATTGCAGCTGTGCATAGTTGCTCTCCGAGGAGATTGTTTAATGTTTTAGCTTAGTATTACCTGTTTTTGTTGCCCCCCCCCCTTTTGACATTTTTTCCACTGGATATTTAGATTTAGTTTGAAAGTGGCTGGCCTTGGTTAGCTTGAACAGTTCCTCCCACTCCATCTTCTGAAATGTCAATCCTAGCTGTATTGCTGTCAGGGCTGAGGGACGGGGGCTGCTCTTTCTTTGTGGTTTCTTAATTTTATTCTTCAGGGTTTTTTTTTTTTCTTATTGGCATTCTGTGGTCTACTCTCAGTGGGGTTGCTGAGGGTTGGAGTCAGAGCTGTTTTGTTTTGTTTTATTTCTTCTTCTACTTACTTCATAAATTTGTCTTTGAATTACTTTGCTTGGACTGCAAGGAAATCAAATCAGTCAGTCCTAAAAGAAATCAACCATGACTGTTCCCTGGAAGGCCAAATACTGAAGCTGAAGCTTAAATACTTTGGCCACCAAATGAGACGGGAGCACTCACAGGAGAAGACCCTGATGCTGGGAAAGATTGAAGGTCAAAGAAGGGGGTGGCAAAGGATGAGATGGTTAGACAGTGTTATCAATGCAACGAACATGAAGTTAAGCAAACTCTGGAAGATGGTGGAAGACATGAGGGCCTGGTGTGATGTGGTCCATGGGGTCACAAAGAGTTGGACTTGACTGTGCGACTGAACAACAACAAATATGGTTTGTTTGATTGGCCCTGTCGGACTTGAAAAGTGGCTAAAGTGTTAATAAGTGCTAATAAGTCTTACTGCTTCCTTTTTGCTGAGAACATCCTTTCTGGATTTGAAAATGGTGGAAAGATTTCCTCGTGGACTAATTTTCTGCAATGGTCAGAGTTACTTCTATGATTTTGTAAATATGAAAGCTTTTAAAGGGGGTTGGGATATTTCCCATGATATACCTTCAGGATATGATTAAAAGACCTCGGATGAGCTTAGGTTAATAACCTGGGGAAGGATGTTCATAAGACTCAGTAGAAAGGTGATAGTAGGAAAGAACCACCAACCCCAGAGGGAACATAGGATTGATAAAGGGTCTATATTCTCCCAGGCTGAGGTCAAGTTTAATAATAGCAGAGAGTACTGGAAAATCCAAACACCCCTGAAAAGTAAAACCTCCATGATTACGGACAGTGAAGGGGGATTTGTGGGGGAAAGACCAAGATGTACCCATGTGTTGTCTTGACAGAAGGATCGATCAATATATGTGGAGGCCAAGAGTTAGGTCAGTAGACTCAACATCAGTGTGCCCTTCATTGTCCCCAAATTTTCATTGGAATAGCTCCAGTTCTCCTCCTTACTATTGTCCCCATCCCACATGGCTTATGTACATACAGGGATCCCCTTAACTGCTGCATATCCTAATTTTACCCTTCCTTCATTTTCACCATCAGACTCATCCTTCTGGAAAGTACTTAGGAGGAGACATAGGGACATTCCAGAAGTCCCTGTTGCCCAAAGAAGCAAAACCAAGTAGGTTTGTCTATAGAATGGTTTTAAATTTTATATTGAATGGCCATCTTATTGGGGGTTTTTTAATGGAACAGTGCATTTTATGAATATTGGGAACCACTTTGGGGGACTCCAGTTAAAAGTGGGATAGGATCAAGTCAGGCTGATAATAATAGAATCCAGAGTATGTAAGGAGTTGTATGTTAATGGAATTGTATTTTATGGGAAATGAAAATAAAGCTATTAAAAAAAAGTGGGATAGAAATCCAGTAACAGCAATCTAAGGCTTTCTGAATCTCTCCCAGAATGCTGGGAGGCAGGAGTGACTTCTAATTTCATGGCTCAAATGAGAGGAGATCATAGCTGCTCAATTCTATGCATTAAAAATGTACTTCATTTCATAAACATTTGGAATTCTATTGTGACTGAGAAAAGAATCTGTTTCTCTACGTATGTATATGGTCACTGGTCTCTGGAAATGTAATATTTGTACAGTGTAAGTGTATGTGTGTCTAAACTTGATCTAAACTTGAAAAAAAAACAACCCTGAAATTTAAAGATTGTTTGATTCTAAACTCGGGTGATTTATCATTAATAAATGTGTGCACAGCAAAGAAAAAGGGGAATATGCTGATGGGGAATATCCAGTTGTTCTCATTTCACAAGTTGCTGGAAGTAGACCCTAGGGCTGTCAGGTCCTGCCCCCTCCCAAGCAGGGGACTTTGGGAAGCATTCCTGGAGGGGGAGGGGACATCCCCAATGTGATGACATCACTCAGAAGTGACATCATCTCATTGGGGATGTACCTGAATCACAAGCAGCAAATTCACTGCTTGGAATTCAAGCACCACCACCCCAAGCATTTAAAGGATCATTCCCTACCCGTCAGTTGGCTGGTGGTAGGCAGAATGTCCAAAAATTGGGGAATCCCCTGTCCTATCTGGGGACTGGC